CACGTCCTTGACGGTTTGTTTGCTCCATCCTTCCACCTCACTGAATTGCAATGCGAAAGAGGCTTCCATATATGCATATTACTTCCTCTTGATGAGCTGCTGTATTATTCATTCATGGGACGTTTGTGTTTCTCTTGCGACACCATGATGATCTGTGCCCACTTCATGGTCCCTGACTCATCCATCCTGTACCTGATTGATTCCCTCTTTTGGTCTCACTCTTGTTAACAGTGCTGCTCTTCATGGTGGGTGAGCATAATGTTTATTCCTCTGCAAGCCTCAGAAAATGGACACCACTCTTTGTGACGCTGCGGTGACCATGTACCACCTGACGACAGACCACCAACTGAACGCCAGCTGCAACTGCTCCTCTCCCGCTTGCAACTGGACAGCAGGTGGCGACGCCCCGCAGCTGCCCACATTCACCACAGCAGCCAAAGTCAGAGTGATTATTACCTTCATTCTCTGTGCCATATCAGCCTTTTGCAACCTGGCTGTGCTGTGGGCAGCACACAGCGATGGAAAGCGCAAATCCCATGTCAGGGTGCTGATAATCAACCTGACAGTGGCTGATCTGCTGGTGACCTTCATTGTGATGCCTGTGGATGCAGTGTGGAACATCACAGTCCAATGGCTTGCTGGGGACTTTGCCTGCAGGCTCCTGATGTTTCTTAAGCTACAGGCGATGTACTCCTGCGCCTTTGTCACTGTGGTGATCAGTCTGGATAGGCAGTCAGCCATCCTCAACCCTCTGGCTATCAATAAGGCCAGAAAGAGGAACAGAGTCATGCTGTCTGTGGCATGGGGCATGAGTACCGTGCTGTCAGTCCCTCAGGTAAGGTCATGTAACCCAGCCAACAAGTGGACATGCCTGATTTCCATTTGATTACACTATAAACAGGTTTTTATTAAGTGTCCTGTTGTGTTAATATATTCTCCAAAGACAGAAAACCATGTTATGAAAACATATTAAATGTGTAGTTCTCAGTTGCACTCCCAACCTCAGTCTGAAATAAATGATCATCCCAACAGCAAGAAGGTCAACAATAGCACATGGGCCATTTTCCCAGACATGAGAAGCCTGTGAACATACAGGTCCACCTGAAACTAAAAGGATAAGGTGGCTTTTTAAAAAAAAAGTTTTAATTATTATCAACAAATACTATGAAGAGACCAAATCCAACAAGGAATTTATCCTGCTCACAAGTATTGTATTGCACAGCCACTGTCTCATTCCAAAAAACGAAAAAGACATAACAGACAACTATTGTATGCAGCAGGCAATGTGTTATATTTTCTTTAATTAGGCTACTGTGTTCCGACAGAACATGAAGCAAATTTTCACTTTGCATCTTTCACGCAAATTTGACCAATGTACCAACTGCCAATTAGCTAGCTCTGTGCATTTTTGAAGCTCATCCACAAAGCCCTAGGATAATGACAAATGCTTTGCTCAAGCTGAAACATTTTCAATGTGCATGGACTTATCTTCAATCGTCAATTCGCACCACCCTGTTTGATATTTGCAGCCGCTTGCTATCCACAGCGTGCCATCCACATTTTATGCAACTGCATGGCTTCTATAACGTCTATAGTTACAGTATGTCATTCAATGCAACAGGAAGCTTTTATGCGATTTTGACAGATGTCAATGGAGGTCAGTGGCACAGTCGAATAATATCAAGCCATGGTGACACAGTTATTATGATTTATTCCATGTTGGTTTTGGTGTCTAGAAGTGAAGTGTTCAAAATAATAAAAACAGCATACAGAATATTAACCTTGGCTTCCTGGTTAAAAAGCATCAGATGTAGCTGTTTTGGAAAGGATCTGATGAACTCAGGCATGCTGTCAGCACTTAACAGGATAGGGATGAAGAAATATGGTACATACAGTAATCTGTGTTTCTAACTTTTAACTGGATAGTTTTACCAAGAACCAGTTGGTTGAGCTGCTTTTGTGCATCCTGTGGTGAGAGGATGAATGTAAATACAGCTTTCAGGGTCATGTGCCATAAGATATGAAGTATCAGCAAACTTCGGTGCATAAAACAAATAGCATCTGCATGACCAAATGCACTACAGGTAAGTGGGAAAATGTGTTTCCTATCAGGCTGCTTACTACATCTCATGTCTTGTGACGGCCTCTATCCCTGGCAGGTCAACCAGAATGATGATAAGGCCGCCAAACACATAGTGGATGTTACTTCACATGCATGAAGATGCCTTTTAGAATATTATTTCCTTCCCTCCTTAGATATTCCTTTTCCGCAACGTGACCATCAACCATCCCGAGGACTTCACTCAGTGTACAACACGTGGAAGTTTTGTCACTCACTGGCATGAAACGGCATATAACATGTTCACTTTTTCCTGCTTGTTCCTGCTGCCGCTGGTCATCATGATCACCTGTTACACACGGATCTTCTGTGAGATCTCCAAACGACTGAAAAAGGACAACTGTAAGTTTAAAGTGAGGCTGAAGCCCAGTGGATCAGTTTACATTAGCGATTAGCTCTTATGTAACATAACTGCTGCTGTGCACTACGTTTGAGCCTTTTGTTAGCAGAAGCGTATTTATAAAGGCTGGACTGTGTACATATCTTATTGGGGAAAGGATGAATTTTAATAACATTGATGATCCCTTAACTCAATACTACAGACTACTTGATTTTTGACTAAATACCTGCAAAACTAAGGACATTCCCATCAGCCTCAGCTGTGTTTGTTTAGTGCTAATTTTGAAAATTTTAGCATGCTAACATGCTGAACTAAGATGAGGTGAAAATGGTAAACATTATACCTGCTAAACATCCGCATTTTAGCATGACTGATGTTAGCATTTAGCTCAAAGCACTGGTAACATGACTGTAGAATGCTTTGTTTAAACGTCACTTTTCAATGCTTTTAGGAGAAATATCAGAGAGCTAAAACTGTCTGCATGGTCCATGAGAAACTAAATTTGGGCAAAGCCAATCTTATGCTACATGATTTGATCCTGCTTTTATCATCTGGTCACAAAGTCAAATGGAAAAGCCAAGTGTAGCAAAGGCAATCATCTCCCACATATTACATAATACATTCATTATTTGTATGTATCAAGCCTTTTATAATGTGTACTTTGTTTTGTTTTTGTCATCTATTCTTCCCCCAGTGCCCTCCAATGAAGTGCATTTGCGGTGTTCGAAGAATAACATCCCCAGAGCCCGGATGAGAACTCTAAAAATGAGTATTGTAATTGTCTTGTCTTTTATTATCTGCTGGACTCCATACTACCTACTGGGTCTGTGGTACTGGTTCTTCCCAGACGACCTGGAGGGGAAGGTCTCCCACTCACTGACCCACATCCTGTTCATCTTTGGTCTCGTCAACGCCTGCCTCGACCCAGTCATCTACGGCCTGTTCACCATTCACTTCCGAAAGGGGCTCCGGAGGTATTACTGCAATGCTGCCACAGCATCTGACCTGGATACCAACACTGTTATAACTGGATCGTTCACTTGTACTACCAATTCTTTACCACTGAAAAGACAGGTGAGCCCTTCCAGCCAGGAGAGGTTCATGTTGTGCAGTGATAATCACAGCAAAGCAGAGTCAGCGTCGCCAGGGAGCAGCTTTTTAACAGCGGACAACGATGCAGAAAGAGATCTAAACCAGTCCAGTCCTGAGAGCGTCATATGAGCAGAGGGTGAAAGATTCCTGACAGTTTTTACTACTGTTGTATAACTGTACTGTTTATTCAGATTTGTTCATTGTCTGACTGTCTAATGTGTTGGGTCCTGTATTCTTTGATCACTATGTGTTATTTTGGCTTACCTCGAAACAAGAAAGTGACAGAATTTTGTATTCTCTGTAGGGGTCTGGTGGGGGCTCCTAAAGGAATGTTTATGTGGTCTGTAACTCGTAATTTGTTGTCATCTTGAATTAAATGCCAGCAATGCTGAGCAATTTGTGTGTAGATCTCTTATGCAAACACACTTCTGTCTCTGGACTGATGTGTAGCTGTTGGCTCCCTGGGGGGAATTGCTGCCTATCATCAGTGATGAGTCATAGCATCCAAATGGAAAGGCCATTTCTACCCTCGAATTGTGACAAATTGATTTGTGGCACAGACTAGAAATAACTTTAAATGATCAGCTCCTCAGCTCTTGGGAACAGAAGATGGATATTTCATCTTTTGTTCAGAACAAAGAACAATTGAGACATGTAGGTTCACATGCAGTGGCTATATAATCTCATTCAGCTTGCGAAGACTGAATCATAAATTTGTTCTTCTTTCATGTTTCACAAAAGAAAAAATGTAACTAGAAAAGGTGTATCATTTGTAATTGCAGCTGTAATAGCAGCTGTATTTCATGGGGGTGTATTTCCAGCCTCCGGGCCTTATATGGAAGATTTTTGAAGTCACTTTGTACTGTAACTAGGAGCCATAACAATTTTAGACAGAGATAAGAAACTGTCTCCAATTGATAAATAAATTGCCCATCTTTCATTAACTACATGCATTAAATCTTCCTGAATGTCAAATCAATACCCCAAATAATTCAGAGATGAATACAATGTGCCGGCAGGACCGGGGAAATTATCTATAAAAATGGCCTTAGATAAAAAAAATTCAATTCCCATGTGCTGCAACTAATGGATAATATTATTATTCATTATTCTTAATTTTCAACAATATATGGTAAATATGAGCATATGGTAAATTGTGTAAAAAACACAATTTGCTGTTATATAGTGGGTTATGTTCTGGACTATAGCTTAGCTAGGACAAAACCTCCTATAGAATAGAAAATTGACATTTACTGCTAGCAGCTGGTGAGCTTAGCTTTGTTAAAACTGCAAACAGGGAGTAACAGCTAGTCTGGCTCTGTCCGAAGATAACAAAATCTGCCAACCAATTTACAAGCTCATTGATGAACGTGTTATATTTTGTTTAATCATGACAAAAAAAACAAAGTATAAAACAGGGTTATACGCTTTAGCTTAATATTTACCCTACAAGCATGAGAGTGGAATACTATCATGTCACTTCGAAAAAAAGGTCTATTTAGCAAAATGTAGAGCTACTCCTCTCAGCAACAGCATTTCACTGTTTCTGAATCATTTTGTAATAAAACAAGCTCACAGTGTGAGTGATGATGGCACTTTTGTTTTGTTACAGTAAAAGAAAATGTGGCTGACGCAAGAAATGTCACAAGGAAGTGATCTCTAAGAACAACACATAAAGGAGGCAGATGAAAAGTCAAATGAGTGTAAAAACAAAAACAGCAAACAGTGACAATGATTTAAGTCTCTGCCTCATTGTAGGTGCTTGGTTTAATACAAGAGGCCACTGCTGTATTATTTTACCGACTGATTCTTTTTTCAAATACAAAGCTGATGTTGACAGTAACACATGCCAAGCTCTTTGAATAGAGCTCTCAACGACATGTGGCCCTTTGGCATCAACCCTCAGTAAAGCTTTTAGAAATTGAAATTAAGTCTCAAGCATATATTAAAATTGGTGTCAGTAGCAGTTCCCTTTCACAGAGAGCTGCCACATTATGATCTGATATGACTTGTGAAGATGGAATACAAATGATGCAACAGTGTAGAGCTGTGTGAAATGAACACAAGTATGTTCTGCCATCAGTCTAAGCTCAAAGAAGGAGCCAATCAGGAATAATCCTACATCTGAACGTAACTGATTGGTTATAGATGAACTACGTACTCTCTGACAGATTAGGATCTTCCCACTCTGAGTCCATCTCTAAAATTTTTTTCATCTAATTTTCATGTATTTATTCTAATTATATAATAATTCGTCTAGTTACCCTGGTACTCAATAAATATGGGCATATTTTGCAGTTGATTATGCTCCCTTGTATTTGAATGTGTCACGGCTACTAATGCCTCCCACCATTTCCTTCATGTACAAATGAATCTGAAAAGCAGTTTCTGGCCTTGGCTTTACTAGAAAAAATGCCCTAAAAACTGAAATTACATATTGAGTTATGTAATATGTTGTCACATATTGGGATAACTTCTCAGTTGGGTCACTAGGTCAAAGAAATCATTGAATTTTCAATTCAATTTTTTTTCATTAAATAATAAACAGTATCAGTGGCATGTGGCTTTTTAGGTGCACAAGAACATACCTCTACTTTTGCCACAGAACTGCCTAAACTAAAACTAAACCTAAACCTTGACAGTCTAGACAGTCAAAGCCCTGAATGGGTATATTTTAAGACTGTTGTCTGATAGAATATAAAAATTTAAAATCTCTGCATCCTGCCCTTTCTTTTTTGTGTCTTCTGACATTAAAAACATGACATATGAAATATTCAAGGACCCCAAAGGCAACAAAATGCCAACGTACCATGACTGAGTTCAGTCATAATCAGACCGAATACAGTCATCTTTTTAAAATACATATTAGAGATGGCCTTCCAGCACCACACACAATGTTGTATAATTCAACACAAGAAACAGAGTAAGACAAAGTCGGGATCACCTCCTCAAATTTCCTCAATGTTTTTGTTTTTGCTACATAAATGATACATGACTGTACCATTTGTTGCAGTACTTCAGCTGGCTGCAGCTCTGCTGTGTCCCTGTTGTGCCATCACTGCAGTTTCCTGTAGCTTCTTCCATGTTTGGGTGATTGCTTTATTCCTTTCATCCACACACAGTGCTCTTCACATGAAAACACAGGAAACACTTGACAAGAGACCACTTTTCAAATATGAAGTGATTGTGGTTTGTCCTTGGGGTGGAGATCTGGACACTACATATTCAGATTATAGAGGCATAAAGACACAAAGAATACAAACCTTTGCTGAAGGTAGAGATTGCAGGTTTCCTCTAAAGTGTCAAAGCTCAGTGTTTTTTGTCGTGGAGAGTCTGGAGGTGAAGCAATATACTGCTTAAGGATGTCAGACTCTCCAAAATGGAAGATGAAAAGCTGACTCTGACTGTCTTCTTTAGAGGATGCTCTGTAGCTGGGGTCCTGATCACCTGCATGACACACATGTTTGTGCAGCTTTTCTGTTTATATATCCACATTAATATGAACTTAACTTAAGGGCATACTCCTCTAGAAGATAACCAGCAACTCCCTCATCATTACTTTTCTCCTGAACCTCACAAATCTTTGGTGTGGTCTAATGAAAAACAAAGCAAATATTTGGCTTTGGATTTACCTCGTATGAGCAGAGTTTGCTGTTGGCTGTTCAGAGCATAAACAGGGTTGCAGGAGGTAGCAATCAGATGAGTTTTAGGAGGCATCAAAAAGCACACAGTTTGTTTGTTGATGACATCTTGGAGGAACATTTTTCCATCTCTTTGCACCTGAAGGAACTAGTTGAGGCAAGAAAAATAAGACAGCAGGATCAAAGAAGATTGAAATGGTAATACTGTTAAGATTAATTCCTTTTGTATTCCTTTTATAAAAGAACTTTAGTGTTCCTACCAAGCCCTGCAGGAATGGCACTGATGCAGTGATAGTTGAGAGGTCCCCACTGTCTTTTGGCCTGTAGCAATATAGGGAATAATATGTGTTAATGTTTTTTTTGTTTTTTTTTTACAGTATGACTGCATGTATGTCACTCAGGTAACCTTTCAGTGAGCAGCATTGCGCAGGATTGTGTCCCTCGTCCTGTGGTGATTGTGTGAATTGCTCCACTTTTACACACCACCAAAAGATGGACCTCTGCTACAGGAAAAGTCTGGGAATCATCAGTAGACACAGGCCAGTAATCCACAAATTGCATCCTGGAGAAGGCACTGTCTACTGCTGAAATTATGACAACAGACAATGGAGACCCTGAGGGAAAGACAAGAAAATGTCAGAGAAAGAGAATCAAACTGGCCATAACTAACATAATCTATAAACCTCTAACAAGCCAAAATGGCTGTTAGCTTGCCAATCAGTCAAACAGTGTTGTTGGGTATTTCCATAAACTGATTCAGCCTCATTAGAGCTTTTCAGTGAAGTTTCTTTTGGGGGATCCTAAATAAATCTCCCATCTCACTGAGACGAGGAGCTTCATAGAATTCTCTGAATCATGAATGGGCTCGGTTGTATGTTTGGGGTGTATTTAACCACAGAAGTACCCAGAAATGTCCCTCTGTTTTTGTGTTGGTACTGTTTATCATATTATGCAGTAATTTCCAGCCACTTCTGAACCTCAACTTGATCATTTTGACACCAATGAGCAGCTGCTTTACTCCACCCTACACAAGAAACTAATTTCAGCCAGCTCATGACCACCGGTGAGGATTGGGACATTGATCGACTGGTAAATCGAATGGCTCAGCTCATTCTACTCCACAACCTTGAACCTTGTGTGAGGATTTTAATTTACTGAAACATTTTTACTTTGAAATTTTGTGTTGTATTTTACTCCTGCAAGATGTAACAAATAACTTAGCTTAAATCAAGACCGTGTAACTTTAGCTAAACAGCAGCAACAACCACAAAGTGGCAACTTCATTAACACTTTTCCCAATGATTATTAGTGATATGCTAAACAGTAGTGTAAGGGTAGCGTAATACATGCTGAGCTTGTATTATGATGATGATTTGTGACACAATAGCTGTCAAGGCTCAGACAGCAGGATACTTCTCCGTCATTTGATCTATTCCGATATAACTTATTTAAACATATGTTTCATTTTAATTGTCTTTTTACTGACAGGGGTTTGTAGGCAGAATGCAAAAGACATAAAGATATACCTATACAATATATGATAACCTTTCAAAATAAAAAATGTATTTACCTGGTATCTAGATAAGACAGAGAAGACTGGTGCTCAGTATGACTTTGTAGCTTATCAACAACAGTAACAGTGGTTTAGAGGCACAGTTAGAGGCTAAACAATGTAAACATATACTTTATATGTCTGTAATTAAATAACGTAGATGTGCATGAAACGCAGTAAAACTATCACCATCCTACTGAAGCTGATGGCAGTGAGGAAAGTGTGAAAGCAGAAATATTTATTTATTTTTCTTTCTTTTCACCCTGTTCACATCATGTAGATACTATGCTATACTATAAATGCCTGTATACTATACTATAAATATTACTTGTAAAGGCAGGAATATGATGTTTACAGATTATGTGAGAACTCAAAATTTTTTTGCACAACATATCAATAACGAAGAGTTTTCAAGTAAGAGAAATGTAATAAACTGTATTGCTGTCGACTACTAGACACTGGGGTCAGATTTGATAGAAAGTAAGAGGTACCTCACTTTAAGATTTGCTCACCAGATCGTCTGTCCCAGACACACACTAAAGCATTATCCAGTCCAAGAGCTATGTAACAGTTGCATCTACTAACAGCAGAACAGAGGATTTCCTTCGTGTTTGGCCACAACATATCCGGCATGGGTTCGGCATCTGAATCAAAAAGAAAAGGGTTAAAACCAAAAATATATGCCTATTGCTGTCATTTATACAAAGACAAAAAGCACAGTAGACATGAGCTATTAACAACAGGAAACACATTTTAAAGATGTGGTTATCAGTTTCCAGTACATTAATCTCTGAACAACTAAATATTCTACCTGGTTTGCTTGTTGGTGCTTTTTGCAGCAAATATTGAAAAAGATTATGACTGCCACTCCACCACACACAGACAGCAACAGGCAATTCTGCTGATAAAAAGGACAGAGATTAAAGATGATATCAACAGGAGCAGGGCCTGTCACTTCTGACTTGAAAATAGGGACAGAATGATTGTGAGGGATAAAATCCAACAAAATAGTCAGCAGGACTACACCTTTACGTCTGTCAACCTATTCACCAAAGGTTACTCACTTAAACAGAAAGACCCTGTTTATGATCTATTATTCGGAAAGTGCCAAATATTTTTATTGGAAATGGCTTTCTGTAACAGTACTAGCCAACTGTTTTACATTTCCTTTATTATAGAAAACTCACATATCAACATGTAAAATTACCCAGCTCCACCCCTCCTCCATTACAAACCTGGCTGAGACTTTTCTTTACGGTCCCCAGGAAACTGACCACAAGGCAGAAGAAAGTGCTGGGTGCAACGTCTGCAAAAACAAACAAAAAATAAACCAAGAGTGCATGTAACTAATGTGAGAAAGCTGCATTTACATTAAATGATTTACATGATTCACAGGCAATATTATGAAGGGCACAATATTACGGCCCTAGCCATGATGAATTAGTTTGCCTCAACCCCAACCTCTCCAGCCTGCCAGCCATCTCCTGCCTCAGCCCCATCATATCCATTCATTTCCCCCAAAACCTTTTCATTATTAAAATACCTTTAATCCTGTCTCTGAGTCTCTGTGTCTGCTTTTGGGCTCAGATAATCAAATATGAATGTTACACACAATTTTGGTTGCAGAAGCAGGGGAGACACAGCACAACCAAAAAAAAAAAAAAAGTACTTCAAAAACACATCATGCAAAACCTCTGGTCAAAGACTGTATGCGTATGTGTATCAAATAGAGCAGTCAGTCAAGCAGTTATGGCAGTTCAGCTGTGAAATGCTGATTTTATTTGTGTAAACTTTATTGTACCTCAGGCTTTCATTTGTTTCTTTTGATTTTTCTTCATTTGTATTCAAAGAGTGTCGGTGACACTTGGTGACTATGTCCAAAGCCAAATAGTGTGTCAAAAAGTCTGTGGTCTGCACCTCGTCTGGACCTTCCAATGCCATCCCTGCAAAACAGCAAAAACATGATAGGATATTGACTTGGCTTCACTCTTGACTGGAGTGTGTTCTCACACCTTCACTTCTTTTTCTAACAGCAGAAAAAGAGTAATTGATGACACATCTATACAAGAGATATACAGCATAACTGCAAGATACATCCATGCTTCGTCTGATTATATAATATAATATTGTAATATTGTAAAATTGTACCTTCTGGAATTTTGGGTGGCTTTATTTTAGTTGCCACTGACAATGGAGACCATTTCACATCCACATCTCCAGAAGAGTTTGGTTCCTGAAGATTAAAAAAGAAAGACCAATATAATATGCAATCCAATATATAACTATTCAGTAGTTTTCACAGTTAACTCATAGAATTTGTAATTCAATAACATACATAAAAAAAAAGGAATCCACAAAAGTCAGTGGAAAAATATTTCCCAATCAGGTCAGTAAAGAAAAAACAAAGGAGGGGCACATTTTGTGCCAAAGATGTCCACGAAGACAATGACATGACAGAAAACAAAAGGACTTCGACTGGCAGCTACTCTGGATTTCAACACATTCAGTACATTTCAAGCTTGGCGATCTTCCCCAAGTAGCTTCAAGTCCAAGCCTTTTTGTTTTTCTTCATGCCATTATGTATTTGTGCACATACAGTAGTTAGCATCTTCTCACTTTTCGGCATTAATTTATTTAATAATACACAAATGAAAAAAGTTCACATTCAAATGTTAGTTGATAATCAGTTTTCACTGTTAACAAGATGCTTAATATGATGCCTAATACACAATCAAGTTCAAGCCAGCCTAACAATTAAATTACAGTACAACACCTGCGTCTGTGACACTGCCATCTCTAACTCCTTCAGCCAGGTTTCTGTTGGGAAGTGATAGACTTCGAGCCAAACAGCACCGTTGCCTGAGAGGAAATATTAAATTCATGTCATTCAGTACTTGATTGTTAAGTCTTTAATTAAAATCACACAACGAAAATACCTCGAACAAGAAGTGAAGTCCTTACTTACAACTGATTGATGCAGCTCCATAATGTCCCCCTTGAGATATTTCAAAGGTCAAACAAATGCTCCTTTTGTTGATATCTTCCTAATATTGACACAATGTTTTTAAATCTCATTTTAAAAAAATATTTTTCTGTTGTAAATGCAAAAAGTGTGTCACTATATGCAACAAAAATAGACTAATGTAGATAGACGAAGAATATTTTGTAAAACAATACTAAAAAAACAACTAGATTCATCCTTAACCTAATAAACTATAAATACAGTTGTCAACATCACATTTAGACTCATGTGTTCATTCATCTTTGTAGAAATTCAGAGATTGTAAAAAAAAGTATGACAAGGAATATTTCAAGAGATGACTAATAAAATACAGTGTTGAACGACAATACGCACCATGATGTTAACAACACTGAGGAGGTGAATGCTGTCACAGTGATATGCAAAGACTCTGGCAACACCTGCAGTAGTAGATGATAGCAGCTGATGTAAACGTGACAATACAATTTTAACAAAGTACTTTCTGAAAGCCTTTTGCAGGTTTCCAGTTTTATCCTTTCTTTCCTCTTATTCCCATTGTTTCAGTTCAGTGCATCATAATTCATGACTTGAGAAGCACACTAGTGCATTTGAAGTGTTCAAATGAATGTCACTCTGTATTTGTCCAATGAAGAAAACCTGGCAATTTAGAAATATAGAAACAGGCTCATAAGAGGCATACAACCCACCCATATCATCAATTGTGCCAAGTAGATAGGCCAACTCAGCCATTCTGTTCATCTGAATAGATGTAATTTCCAGTCTGTCCTCAAGCCAGTCTGCAACACAGGTCAGAGAAGACGCACACCACACAGACAAGCCCTGGGAGTGACCCAGACTGAGGAACCTGCCGTCTTCCGAGCATGCAAGACAGTTGGTGCTCTCTGGAAGCTGAAGGATAAGCAAAACAGTCAAATACAAATACCTAGATTTCCTTTGGAAAACACTTATCTTTTGTTCAATAAACAATTTATTTTCATTAGTAGAATAAATAGCGAGGACTGGATGTGCCTGTAAGACTTCTGGACATATTTGATACTGAGTCAAACAAATTATCTTGGCTTGATTTGACATTCTTCAAAATAACATACTTGTCAAGTCTTTGACGTTGCATCTAAGTCATGAATCTGTACCTGTGTTGCACCAGATGGTCCCAAAGTTTCCTGTCTTGAGTTCTCTGCTTCCATGAGTCTGGTGTACCTATGTTATGAGCACATCAAATTAGCAAAAACATCCACAGGTAACTAGTTTTTAGTTGTCTAATAATTGTAATAAAGTTAAAAATAAGTCCATCAAAGTACATCAGATATGTAACTGTAATCTAACTGTAAAGTAAATCATACAATACTGTAATTCAAGTATTGTCAACACATTAGGTATCAATGTCTGGGTCTGACTGAGGAAAAGGCATGTAACGTTATCAGTTTACTGATTCACTTTTACAAATTAACACCAGAGATTACAGACAACAAAAATATCTAAAGCTAATGAGGTGCGTAATTAGCCGTTAGCTAACACTGAAAAGGTGTTGGTTCCTGCTAACCAACAATATACTTCTATATCCAAGATTAACTAAGAGCATGGAAGGGTGAACTCTTGTGACCTTACGTTAGCAAATTAAAAATATCGTTTCAAAGCCTCGTAAAATATCACCACTGGATCGAATTCTTACCTTAATTCGGCCAAAGTTAAAGATGGTCACGCTAGCAGCCTTTGAGAATGCTAATTGTTTCACGGTCGTCATGACAACAGTGTCTCCATGGACGTACTATTGCCAGGTAGGTCTGCGGAGCACCTAGACCCGTCAAGTAACTCCATGTCAATACTATCAATTCTTGATTATACGGTTATTTTTACAGACCCAGCATGCTGTTATTTTCTCACATTTCCGTTTAAGTCTTAATATTCCATGGTTAAAACTCAGTCACGGATAAACGGTTTCTGATATCTGTGAAACGGGATCAATATGGACAATATATGGGCTTTGTTACTCAGTCTATAACCATGAAAATGGAGTACAATCAATAGTGAAATGATGCAAGCTGGTGTTTTTGTACACATACACAGACACAAAGTGGCTTTAATAAAAAACCTTGATAAAATCTGTGGATTTTAGTGGATTAATTATCAGCAAAGGAGACAGAATAAAATATTTTCAGTAGGCCTACAATATTCTTAGAAGGGCTTTATAAAGAGTTTATAAGTTGTGAATAATGGCGTTATCATTAGTTAATGAAACTATATGCTATACAGAGCCGTCAATGAACAGCTTTTGGGTTTGCTAGGTTGTGAAAAATCCCTCTTTGCTTTGTCATTTCTGTTTGGTACTAATGCTCCTCTTCAAGTGGGCCAGTATCATGTGTAGGCTTGATGTGTATGAGCATGCTTACTTGTCTTATAACCCATTGCATTTGTGAAAATATTATTGTGATTTTAATATGGACTCGAGGCCCTTGAGCTAAATAAACAAACACATAACAAAACATAAACAAAATAAGCAATTATGGCCAATAATTGTAATAATGATTGTAATATTAATAATAAATTATGTGTGATTTTGAGTTAACAAACAGCTTTACTGTGCAACAGCAGATAATAGAATGAATGTGTTGTAGAATTTAAACTTCATACTGGTTCTTCAGAATGTTGCACTGGGCCAGTGGCAGACTTTGGCTGACCACCAGAGGGTATGGTGGTGCATCAATGCTTGATGCAGATTACCTGTATATATAAAAATAAAAAAAAAAGCCTCAAAGCAAAAATTGCTTTGATGTTTTTATTCTTTTGAATTTAGCACAACAGGAAAAGAGAAAGTATACATTTGTAAAATGCAGTTCATAATGCTCTGCCTTCCCTTCAGCAGGTACATAGTACATAAAAACACCTGCTGTGCAATACACACTGGTGCCTTGTGAGTGCTCAGCACCAGTCCAAAAACAAAATGAATGAACCTGTTATTGTAGCTTGTGATTAAGACTTGTACAGATAAATAAAATTCATTTAGTGATTTTGTAAGAAATATGCTGTCTTCAAGACCGGTGATTCTTTCATCATAGTCAATATATGGTATAATAACCCACAGATAATTATGGTCGTCAATCAACCACTTGACACTATTACATTTTTCTCCACCTGAAACATTTTTGTAATTACCACTCTCTACCTGAAAGTGATTGAGTATTGTTATTTTAACAATTGATTTTCTGTGCTCGAAATATAGCAGAAATCACTGAAGACAATCTTCCAATCAAACCAAATGCTCAGAGCTGAGTCAAATGGAATTCAAATAGGAATATCAGTGATAGAATTAACCACGGTTATATTCCTAATGATAAATGCATCACCATATACATCAATCATGATTTAAAAACAGAGTACCAGAGGGATTTCCAATGCAGCTGCAGTAAGAGTAAGCTATATGCCATCACTGCAAATCAAAGTGTGCACTAAACAATTTTTAAAATATATGATGAAATATTTCCTCCAGAAAGTAATATTCAAACGTGTGAGAAAGCCACCGTTGGCATTCACTTGAACAGCTAAATGGCAAAGACAGGTTTAATAGCTAACAGTAATATAAGGCAGATAACAGATGAGTGTGGATGATGACTCCATGTTGAAATTGGCAGTTTGAAGGTTTTTGTTCTATAAAAATTAAATCTTAAGGCTTCTACGTATGTCATTGACTTTGTGATAACATTTGGTACAAAAACTGCAACCAAGATGAACAATTATAATGGGAATGGAAATTTCACGAGCCCCCTTTTTTTCAAACCAGTTTTAGTGCAAAAAAAAAAAAAAAAAAAACCCTGAATGGGCATCGATTATTTACTAAAAACTGAAGGATATAAAAGCCTCCGGACTAGTATTTAAAATACCCAAGTACCACAAATGGTTCTGATGTAGCAAATGTACACATTTTACTTACATGGCTCCATATTTCCATGAAGACCAACAATCTGGGGATGATGCTGAAATCATTCACTGTGTGCTATAAAGTCCCCAATGTAGTCTTGACTCTCATTTTTAGTGCTGTCTGAATTCTCATATGATCAAAATAACAATGCAGTACGACGTGAACAAATACGTAATGTACCATCATGCTTTGCACCTAATCTTGTAGTGTGTGTTTTTTTTTTTCTTTATAGAGCATAAGTGAACAATTTCAGACCTCCCATCTGAGGCCTTTCTTTGCCATTTCAACATCAATATTTAGAGGACTTTGGGGCAGCTTTAACCAGTGACTCTCCACAACTGTGTCAGGTCAGACGGGGGCAAAACATGCAACATATTATATTAGCCGAACATTTCATCTACTCGCAACCTCTCCCACCACACTACCCAAGCTGCTTGGATCCAAACACTTTGATCTAACAAGATGTGATGCTTCAACAACACGGGACAGAGGAATATGGCTTAAAATAAATACATCAGTAGTTCTAAGCAAAAGAGAGAAACACACTTCTTTCCAGTGGGTTGAAATACTTCAAACTAGACTTAACGCCTGATTAACAATGTCAGTAACTGTTTTGGGGAGGAAAAATCATCTTTCCTCACCAAGTTATTGCAACAGCCATTAAGGCCAAGCATTTTGGTCCCTTTTCTAGTCATTCAAAAGAAAGGGGTGTGGTGAATAAATACTTTAGATAGACACAAGTGCATTTGGGAGACAGCATATTCGTCATTGTACTGTACTGCATCAGGTTCTATGTGAACCTGCACCTATAAACGTATCCAGCCATTTGAATATTTTCTTTTTTATTCATTATATACAGCCGATTTCAAAATCTTAGAGAGCATTTCAATTTGAATTTAGTTTGTAATATGTTGAGACCAAGTGAACAGTAGTACCCCTTTCTGGCTATATTGCAAAATGTCTTAACTTTAATGTATCGCTTTATATATTATTGAGTCCTAATAACCTTCCCTTCTCCCAAAGAATGAGATCATTTCACTTGTTTCCAATACAAACTTCTTTTACTTTAAAAGTAAGAAGAAGACTTTAAAAAAAAAAAAAAAATCAGGTGTCAGTATCTTGATGCTGATGCAGTAATTGATTTAAACTTACCTGGAACATTAAGGGAAACTGCATTGGAAACAAGTGGAGTTATCGCCACTCCATTTACTAAAAAAATGTGAGGGATTAAAATAACTAACATTTCAGTTTTTTTGCAGTGGGCTGCTTCAATCATATATCGCATATGAGGCAACTTTGATATGGAATTTGTAAAAGTACACTCACGCTGCATATTGAAAACTCAAAATGTATAAAAAAGGAAAGTGAAAACTTGCCTGGAGCAATGTTTGACTTAACATGTCAAAAACAAAGTCAATGAGGTGTAGTCGTATTTGCTACCTATTACATATTTTCAACAAAATGGCTTACACTGACACTGGTAATGACATGACAGGGAAACTGTCATGTCATGTGATATGCACAGATGCACGACTGTCATAATCCCAAGACTATCTGTGCTTCTCCCTTGGAGTTATCACATTAACATAACAATTGAAAGAAATGATAACTTCAATACAAATACACTTACAAATACCAGAGTGAAATCTGTTCTTCACTCATTAGTGCTCACAGCATCATCCATGGTCCCAGCAGAAGTGGTCTGTGTTGATGCCTGAAGTTTCATCCAAAACCTTTTATATCACTCTCAGGTAAAAATTCTTTGTTTGATACCTGTGGAAAGGAGGGGCTTCCATATAAAAACATTGGATGTCAACATGTGAGGGGGAGAGCCTATGCTATGAAGAAGCCTGAGAGACATCATAGTCTATGATGAGCTGTTTAATGTAGGACAGTTTCTCATGGAGATACTCGCAGCGTTTCTTCTCCTCCCGGTAACCTGGGAATTTCTGTTGAGACAAGAGAAAACATTTTAATAAAAAGGTTTCCACATTCATTTTCACATTCCCACATTCTCACCCAGCAAACCAGAAATTTGTCTTCTGCAAAGTGACCTGACGATGTGAAAAATCTGAACTGAAAAATTGCTTGGACCCTTTTATATATAATGACATTGAATGTAAACCCACAATTCAACAACTTCTGGTACTCTGTTAACAGAAACATTTTTAATGTTCAAACGTTCACAGCTGATTTCACAGAAAATATCTCTGCAACTTTCTACTGTTTAGCACTGGGTAATAATGAAGAACTTTCACACAGTGATACAGTCATTGATACCATGCACAGTAGATCACAGGGAATATTGGCAGCACTTATGCTAACAGCAGAGCTAAAGTATGTAAGGGTCCGATTTAAAGACTGAAGAAGCAAAGATACATTTTAAAGAAAGCCTGCTCCAATCATGGCAAATTTCCTCACAATGGGATTAATAAAAAGAGTATCTTATCTTTATCTTATCTTATCCAGATCTCTGTGTTCTCCAAGGTCATGATGTATCATAAGTGTCTTTTTAAAAAACAAGTTTTTAAGATTCTTTTGTAATGGGGTGTACTGACCACTGACAGTTATAAATATTTAAACTTTGCCAAAAGAATAAAATCCCATACTTGAAATACTTTTTTTCCACAGAGAAATGTGTCTGGAATTTCAAGCAGCTGCTGAGCATTCATTAAAAAGAGGACCTGTGGTTACACAGTACTTAGGCTGAAAAGATGTATACAAACATGCTTTGGCTTGTCTAGAGTTAGGGGTTAGTTACTTAATGCAAGTAACTTTCTGTGTAAAACATACTATAAATTTGTTTTACTTACTACAATAGTAAAATGAATCCATACAGCTTTACTTGTGTTATGAATTTAGTCATTTATTCAAAGGAAGTAATGACCTTTTCACCGTAGCTGTTTTCTTCCAAATGTTGCACAAAAACTTAACCCAATTTTGAAAGAACCAACCAAAGAAAATGTGGATTAATGCTCTAATCCTCCACTTTGGTGCCATTAAAGTGTTGCAACAAAATGAAGAGTGGCAGTCAAGGAAAACACAGATGCTTAACACAGCTCCACACACACGTGATGTTTTCGTCTGCCGCTATTTTTAGTTTCTTCACGCACGTCACAATTTATTTGCTATTTCTGTTTCCATTGCACTTTCACATTTTGCTTTTAGCATTATATTGACTTTTCCACCTCAGCCAAATCATATACAATTTTTTGGAATAAATGGAGAGATTTTTCAAATGTTGCCGTTGGTGTAGCAAAATAGAAAATGTGCATAAAAACAGGTGGATGGAAACTTGTTACCCGTTTGTAAAATCTAGTAAAAGGAAAAATGACTTTAACCATTCAAATGGCAGCAACAGTATGACTTACCTTCCGATACTTGTTGTACTTTTCTAGTATTTGGTCTTCCATTATCTACATGGCATGAAAAAAATAAATCATTAAATTGTAAATATTAATTCAGCTGCATAAATTTATGCCTTAGCATCTTTGTGTGTAAGTTGTAGTTGTATCGTTACCTTGTAGTCTTGTGTGCCAGGGGACAGGCTCTTGATCTTGGATCCTAGCTGAACAAACATGTGGGTTATGGTGGCGATCCGGGAGTGGAGGTCTTTGTATTCATCATACTCTGCGCAGAAATCTTCCTGGTACCTCTTACGTTGCTCCAAACTCATTATGGTGCCATAGGTGCTACAAGGAGACACACAGACAAACAGTCAGTGATAGTGTACATGTGATGTTTCAATAGTTAACATCACAGATGGTATTCAACTTGGCCAATCTAACTGATCATATACAGTGGGTTAAGGAATAAAAACAACACATTCCTCCTTCTGAATCTTATTCTCTAGACAGATTTCATTTCACAATCATTCTTTCATGCACAAATACCTTTTAATATGAGTTCTCTAAAATTTCTTGAAACCCTTATTTTATTTTTTGTGTGCAATAGCTCTTTTAGACACAAGATGGCAGTATACAGCCACAATGTGCTGCTGTGAGACATGTCCATTCATTACCTTTGGAGACAATTCTTTATCAAATCTCTTATTACAACAATTTACATGTGTAAACAAGCAATGTCTGTCTACTATCTTGAACCAGGGCCAATGTAAGTTCTGTAAGTTCTGATAGCTGAATAGCAAATATGTAGTTAAGATTAGTTATGAAGTTACATGTGCAACACATATTTTAACTGACAAGACATCTTAAGTTTGTTAAAGGTAATCACAGCAAAATAATTTTACTATATTGTTGACACTCACAGCACATAATCTGGCTTCTCCTCAGAGGCCACAGCATTTGTGATGTCTGGATCTGGAAAAAAAACACACAAGATAAAGTAAATCATATTAGCTTGAGTTGAGGTGAAACACTCATCTACATTACTCTTTGTCACTGTCTGAATATTAGGCAATGTGTTTTTGTTTTGCAAAAAGCCACAGTGTGAGTGTGTGAGTGTGTGAGTGTGTGTGTGTGTGTGTGTGTGTGTGTGTGTGAGCTTGTTAGTATCAGGAGACATCTCAGCTTAGAGACCCAAAGCAGTGCTGGAGCTGTTGTTGAGTCAATCAGCCATATAACACACTGAGGACTCAAGAGAGTGAGCTTAAGGGAGCAAACACAGACATGCTTATGAGATAATACTCTATAAATGCACCAGTGAGCTGTGAGATAAACGGTCACTCAGAGAGACCTCACACACAATTACCACTGGTCATCTGTTAGAAGTATCGGTGGTTAACTTATTATTATGTAGGCAAGTGCAGAGAAAAAACAGCAGTTCAGACACAACAAAAGGGTGTCTTAGAGATGTGACCATTGCAATATGACAGAATATTCAAACAGAGCCGATAATATGACATTAGCTTTAAAAAAAAAAAAAAGAAAAAAAAAAAAAAGATCAAGACTGTGTCCCTACATCACTGTGTTGGTTTCAGGGTGTAATCAAACAGTATGAGAAGAATGGAGGTTAGTATCAGTAAAAAGAGGCCTTACTGTCAAGTTTGTCTGGGTTCTGCTTGAGATCAGGACTCGTCTCCAACCAATCACTGCCCTGGTTGACTTTCAACCTCTCCCGCTCCTTGTCTTTGTGCTTTTTAGATTTCTTCTTTCTGTGCTGGTTGTTGTTTGCGAGCTGCTGGTGAGTGCAGTCAGAGTCCCCCTGCGGTGGCTGATGGCTGCTTAGTTTGGGTTCTTGCTCCCTGCTCTCTGAAACAGGTGTGTTAGGGGTGCTAGACAATTTGGGCATTAGGAGAAAGCCATTGTGGCCCCCTGGTGAGCCAGTCTGGTTACTAGTATGGTTAGTTGTCCTTTGAAACTCAGTCTTTATGTGGAGGCTGGAGTCGAGGGTAGGATTTGCATTGGCGGATTCTCCTTTCTTGTTTAAGAGTCCGTTTATGGTGGGCTGCTGTTGCAACCTCTGGTCCACAAGTTTTTGTCTCTTAACAGCTAGCCTTTGCAATGAGTCAAAAGGCACGGGGCGTTTCTGGGAAAGTGAGAAGGAAATGTGAGAAATTAACATTTATCACTCATATCATGCATAAATATTTCCTTACAAAACCACATAAACGACCTGCAGCCTAGCTTCTGATGTCAAACTCTGACTCTCAAACTACATACACCATTAATACCAAAGACAGACGCAACAATTTAAATTTTAAATATGTAATATACTCGGTAAATACATACTAATTTATATTTACTGTATATGTAGAAAAGCACATTAGTCACTTTCATACATGTTCAAAGTTAATGAAAACCAATGTGGTTATTTACCACTGCAGGATTTTTCACTGTGCTGTGATGTAGTGTCATATCCTCTGAGGTCTTTAGTACTGACACGTTTGCTTGAAGATTTCTTGATTGGTTGCTCATCTGCGGCTGAAGCTTCCTGTTACACAGAAAGAAAGAATTTGACAATAAGAAAAAAAGATATCCCTTTATGAGGAGCTTAGAAACATTCAGTTTTAAATGGCGTCACTGGAGAGTTATGTGTATTTACAGAACTAGAAAAGAGCATGAAAAACAAACAGATTCTTTGTGTAGCAGGTACAGACAAGTTTTTGTTTCTTAGTGTTGATTAGCGCATGTCCGGAGATGTGTGAGAATGAGAGAAGAAGATGCAGAGGAGAGAGGAAGAGACAACAGATAAAGATGAGAGTCACTGTCTGCCAGGAGCTGTGAGAAACAATTATACTGCTAGGAAGGAAAGTTGCCATGTCCAGTTACAATTATGTAATTCATGAGAGTTACTACAGGTCTGTTTTTCGTCTGTTTCGTCTTTCGTCTGTCGGTCGTGATAATGGTTATGTCACCACCACTAAGGAATACTTGTGCGACATATTGAAAAGTGAAGAGACACAGAGAAACAAGCTTTATAATGAGAGAGGGATGTGTGATTATAGAGATGGCATCCCTATTTGGCCCGTGCCTCTCACACACCTGGCCAGGAGCCTGCTGATCAGCTGCCTCTCCTCCTCGCTGTAGCCTGGCCAGTCCCTCTGCACGTGCTTGTAGAAGTCATCCCTCAGCAGGTAGCTGCTGTCTTTTGGATTCACTTTTGCCACCTGAAATCCAAGACACCACATGATGTTATTTTTAAGTCTTTCATTTCTGACTTCATTCACACCTGTGCACATCTTAAAGTATTTAAAATCTATTTCTTTGACTTTATGTGAGATTATTAAATTGTGAATTAAAAGTCCAGCCACACACATAAATTACGGAACAGACTAAACTTATTTTCCTAACAGGGAATGTATTGTGCCAAAACACTACCATTATCACATCATATGTTTCCTGCTGTACTACAGCCTAAAGCTCTTCCACACAACTGTTAAAAAGTATATTTCACATGAGCATTAAATGTAGTGTGTCTTATATTATTGCTAGATTGTTGGATACCATCATGTTAAACTATTTCTCTATATATCACAGCTTTTTGATCCCTCATGTCAGTCTGACAAGTATTAATTTAACTGATGACTCATATAAAACAGTCACATGTATAATGTAGATAATTGATCTTTTTCTTAATAATTTATCTAGTTTTTGTTTTGTTACTCTTGAAAATCAAAACTGCAACTTTTTCTTTTCTCCATGTGGCTGCACCAATACGAAGAAAAAACATTTCGCAGCACAAATATATAATCACTTGCCAAATATGCTTGGGTCAGTACAAACTTTGTCGGGATATTTTAACCAAATATATCCAAAATATATTCTTGTGTTAAAGTCCAGGATGTGAAATTCCTGAAAAGACAAAAACTCTTTTTCTCGGATTCTTTTCCCATTGTAGAGTCTCACGCTTTCTGTCTCACAGTGACTCTACCCTCCTCTCTAATCTCGTCAGACTGCCTTTCTCCGAGGACATCTATCTTTCTGTGGCCTCCTGACAGAGCGGCCCGCCCCACTGCAAACACAATCTCTGCAAAGACAATTACAGCACCGACCTAATTACACACACGCACAGACACAAAAACCACATGCATGCACACACATCAACAAGCACAAGGCCCAGAAAAAATACACACCCAAACACACACCAGTGACGGCAGTACAGACACGCAAACATCATTTAGGAATTACACAAAAATGTATACAGGAAAAGTCAAGTAAAGTAAACGTTTCTAAATTAGATCACAAGTTCAATTAAAGCACAACAGGCCCCGGGTTTCTTTCAGCGTGAGATTATCTGTTTGTTGGATGGGACGTAATGTAAGTTTCTACTTTTCAGATCCTGGGACACAGACACTTTAAAAATTGTCATATTCAACCCTGCCAAAATGTAGCGTTTGTAATGTAATGTTTGTTGATTCTAATGGAAAGGGTGGTGTGAAGCATCACTGTATTAGGAATGAGTGCAGTTCTTTACATCCCTTCTGAGAACAATGAACGATTTATATTTTAATGTTATTAAATGCATTTTACAATGTGTTAATACCTGGTTTGAACACTGTAGTGTTAATATATGTCACTGCTCAAATAGATTTTCACCCATCAGACAGAAACGTGTGTGTGTGTCCATGTAAAGAAGTATGTTCTTCTGTGAAAGCAGTGTGCAAATTATGGGTCAAACGTGATGGGGCACACACACAAACAACACCGTTAGCGATGTGCTTTTTTTTTTTTTCCCAAGTAGTAGTAGTGTGTGAAGTGACGTGAAGTGTTTAAGGTCTATATATGTCTATATGCATGGACGCACACACACACACATTATTTCTGCATACCTCCTCCAGTATAGGACTCAGCTCCGCCTTGTCTTTGGGGCCGGCTCTTTCTCTTTCCAGCCACAGCAGCAGCTCTGGTTTCCTGTACGGTTTAAGAGCCAGCAGGTGGATGATGCGCTCCCTCAGGGGCTTCTGGGTCGGTGTGGCCATACCGCCATTCCTCCGAATGTTGCTAGACTGCTTATAGAAGCTGCCATCTGACGCAGAGGAAGGAGCTGGCCTCTTGTGGAGCTTGACACATTTACCTGAACACAAAAAAATTATTATTTATATTATAATTGCAATTATTATTAATGAATTTGTTGTATTTTTCACTACCCCAAACTCTACACGATATAATGTCAAGGTTTATTTACAACCTGTATAAAAACTGTGTTTATATGCATTTTACATCCAAAACACATTCTTCACCTTCAAATATGTCTCAGTAAGTCACAAGAAATCTAATCTTCAGAGTTTCCTGATATTTAGAGAGACTTACACTTAAGCTCATTAAAACTAATTTGTGAGCCCTAAGCAGGCACAAAAAAAAGCTTTTCATATTTTCATGCAGGAGATCAAACAAAATAAGTGATGTGACAAACAAGAGTGTGTCACAGCCTGATTTTAAACTCTTAAACACTGCCTTTATCTGTTCGACATGCACGTGCTCTCTGGGCTAAACTATCTTGACAGCTGATTGGATAACAAGGAAACATTCATCAAAATATCTTCTATTAACCTTTATCTCTAGAACACACGAGCATGCTGGCCTGTAGCTATTTGTCTTCAGATGTAAACACTCAAATGATCATTGCTTACATCCCTGCTACAGAAATGTTAGAGCAGTGAAAGCTATCTCTCTGTGCTAATCCCATTATGGGTTAATCTGCTCTTTGAAGGTCAGAGAGGGGCAAAGGTACAGGAGAAGGCAGCTTTCCTTTCAACCACAAAAGCTTACCCTGCGAAGAGATAATAACTCTATGCATTATCATTACTCTACTACCAGCCATTAATCATGATTTAAAAAAAATACTCTAAATTATGTAATTATTATGGTGTGGGTTGTGTGGAGTGTCGGAGGCATGCTTTATAAGTTTTGGCATGCCTGGTAATATGCACTATGTTCGTGAGCACCTCCTGAAGCTGAAGGGGGAGTGTAGAGTGCAGTTATTAAATGTTTCCCTCTGGGCATATACTGTATGTTGGCAAGCCATCGTCACCTTAAGACCCAATGTTACACAATCCAAAAAGTCTAAATTTGGTCTGAACCACCCAGAGTTTCAGCTTCCCTCGAGCTCAAGCACTGACATGGGGGTCTAGAATCCCACCAAGAAACAATATTGCATAACCACGGCAAAGGTTGGAGAAGAGAAAAAAGATAAAAGAGAAGAGGAAGTAGCTCAAAAGTTCAAGTTCTCATATGATTAATATGCTGTAAAGTATCCTCGATGATTAAGATCTAAAAAACAACCAAAAAAAAAAAAACATACACAAACACACACACACAAACTTGACAAATGTGGCAATAAAGTTGTTGGAAAGGAAAAACCTATCACCTGTGAATTTATGCTTTTCAATTGCGTGGCAAACATCTGGTTAACATTTTGTAATGAGACTTGTGATATGTTTGGAACAACAGTGAGCCGTTTCTGCACAAGCTTTTGGCACCACCCTGCAGCAAATTAAGTTGTTTGCTACAAGAATGAAACTATTTACGAGCCTTTGCAGCTAACATTTAATTTCATGAGCTACATTTGGAGATACACCCCCTCCAACCCCCCACCCCCCACTTCTTCATGAAAATATGTCTTTCAGTAGAATAAATGGTAAGAACCTTGCTTTAAAGACAGACACTGACAACTTTGACCTGTATCAAACATCCATTTGGCAAATACTCTTTTTAAAGCCGGACGTGTAAAAAGAGACAAGGACAATATGGGAGACAAGAGTTGGGGGTTTTGGTCTTCATTGTAGAACCACAAACATAGCCTTTAAATCTGGTTTCATTCCACGTCACGATGGGAAAATATCTGGTTTTCAGCTTTGAACAGTGAATATAACAATATTTCTCAAGCAAGGGAAATATTCCTACCATATTTTCCGCACTATAGGGCGCACTGGATTATAAGGCGCACTGTCAATGAATGGTCTATTTTCGAACTTTTTTCATATATAAAGCGCACCGGACTATAAGGCACATTAAGTGAAACAAAACAGTCAGATAAGTCAGTCAGTCAAACTTTATTAAACACGTTCACAATAACTCCCAACCTTGTTCAGTTGTAACACGTAAAAAAAACACAGTCTGTTCTACTGCGTGACTGATAGCCTTGAGTTTGAAGTCCGCGTCCTAAGCGTGTCTCTTGACAGGTGCCATTTTGGGGTCTTTATACACATTTTAAGCTTTTAAGTGCGCCTTATAGTGCAGAAAATACGGTACTTTTATTGGTGTTATTATATTTCTATTTTTATTTTTATATGCCATCAGTGTGTCCACATCCAATGTGCTATGCTTCTTCCAAGCTTAAAGCTGTTTGGCCTTTTCTTATGAAAATCTGCAGAGGTATCCTCTGATCCTCCTGTTTTTGCTCCACAGAGGCCTCCCCCGTCCATTCTTACTTGGATGTGTGGCTCCAGGTTTGATCTCAATGGCAGAGCGGCTCCAGATGTCCTTCTCCACCTGAGACATCCTCTCCCGGGTCATCTGGTACGAGTCATCGGTGGCACACACGGTGATCTTGTCCTGGATAATGCCCTGACCTTCCAGCTGCTCACGGCCATCACTGTAAGACAAAACATAGAGCCAGTTGAACCACAGGGCTCTCTGCCGGCTGTACAGTAAACGCTGTAAAAACATAGTCCCATTAGCTATCTTAGAGCAGCGTACCAACCCATGCAGCATAAAGTGGCTCTGTGGTGGAAGCTGGCTAAGAAAGGTCATGGTTACTGTACGTTATGTCACAGGCTAGATATAGCCCTGCAGTCCACTATATGTGAGAAAGCCAGAGATCCTGGTTCAAAGCAGGATAGAGCCTCTGAAAAACCACCAGGATTAGCTTGGCTCCTGACAGCACACTTGCAAAACAAGGATGATCTTGGACAAAAGTGAAATGTTCAACACATGAACAGGGGCTGTGTTAATGCTGTCAATAAATCAGGGATTTACTGTGCTGCCAAATGGAGTTAAAAAAATAAAAAAAAAATAAAAAAAAATAAAATGAGTCATTTTCCCTGATCCAATTTTTATCTTCACAACACAATTATATGCTTTCTCCCCTGTATCCTCTAAATATCAAAACAATGCAGACTCTTGCCCTCACACGTTTACGCTGTTGCTCTTGGCTCCAAGCGGCTGACTGGAACCAGAACAAGTTCCAGTTCAGACCACAGTCAGCCGTCTGGCAGCAGGAGGCAGCAACAGAGCGTAACCCTCACTTTCCAAGCATATCCACCCCATAAACAAGGCATCACAGGTCTCAGTAATGAGAGGGTCAGCCCAGAAATATACAGGAAATTACAACTGCCTATATCCTGTGTAGAACTGTCTCTCACGATGGTCTCAGAGACGTGGGGATTAAGAGGGAGCCGAGGGTTCACAAAAAAAAAAAAAAATTGTGGTGCACGTCTGCTGACCTATGGAGATGACAGAAAGCTGTCATCCGGGGTCACATGTGCCACAGCCAGCAGATCACATAAAGCACTTGCACCTTAACTTGTTGTGACAGACAGGTCTGGAAGCTTTGCACTGAATCAACTTTTGCAGTAAATATTTGCCATAAATCTTTGCTGAGGAACAAATGATTTCTAGGTATTTTTTTTTATAGAGCTTGAGGCAGAACCTTGAATCAGGAAAAATAGCAGACATTGGTGAAAAAGGTTTAAAAGAAATAAATTAAACAAATTACTTGATGTGCTCTTTAATGCAAGGACATACAGTATGTGAAAATAAAGAGTTTGTGATTAACTCCATACCTTGAAACATACTGATGGATGCAGTCAAAGCTGGCTTGAGGTTGGTCTTTGCTGTCGCTGGATAAGTAGAACGAGAAGACGCGAAGAGCAGACAGAGACTCTGGTGTGGGAGCTGGGATCTTGATGTACTGTGAAGAAAAACAGAAGAAAGTCAGATCTTATTCAGGACAGACAGGCCAACAATTACATAGGCAGACAACTTACAAATTGTTGCACACAAACAACACACAAAAGTTAAATGCACCCACATATTAGTGTAGAGTCATGCATATGAGTTCCTGTCTGTTTTTATCATGCTTATGTCTGTATGAAGACGTTAACCCAGGTATTCAACAGTACTCATGCGCACATAATCAGATGCAAGAAAAGAACAGTTATCTTGATTCACTGGCTGGTACCAACCCGTTGCTTTAACTTGTCAATGTTTTCCTAAAGAGTTCATGCATCTTTTGTTATCTTTCAAACTGTCAACTTTTGGTAGGGAAAAGAAATGTATCTACTCAGCAGAATTTCAGAGACATACTCCGAAGCCAAATGCGTTGTAGCCAAGGACACAGAGCTGTCCAAAGTCAAGGTTTTTGCAATCAACATAAATCAATGAAGCTTTTTTCACAACTTTCAGCCCACTGCAAAGACCAGACTCGGACAAATGCAGATGATAGGTCTCCTGAGTGTAAGTGGAAGGTTTGGTCAGATGGTGGCACACAACATATAAGGTCAGGGGCTCAGCAGAAACATTACAGTGGCTATAATCAATGTTTTTATAATAAAAATGTATCAAATAACAATGTAACAATATGAAAGAGGTCGACAGCAAATTACCACCTGGACCTGCAGCTCCCTGCGGCTCGTCAGAAGCCGAGTCATAGTGAATTTCAGCTCATCGTTTGAACTATTCAGCTTGCAACAGCTGGATGTGTTAAACAAGCAGTCCTTTGCTTAGAAGTTCATCATATTAACTTAAAAGCTGCTCGGTTTTTTAGGTTTTATGTTGCTCCTGAATATCCACACCTAACTTCATGAAAATTGACATACCTTGCTCCTGCCCAATGTATTGGACAGCCGACTGACCAATCGATATTTTACCATTCTTGACAACTAACTGCTCTGCAGGGTGAAATACCACTTAAATGTAAAAATAATATACTGCAGCTCCAAAGACACAGGAAATATACCTGTGTAATTTAACCTCATCTGTTTCCAAATTAAGGCAACAGACTCTTTCTTCTTCCTCCATTACCACAATTTTTATTTTCCATACTGACAAGTGTTTGTGTTTCGCACTGTAGGAGAAGGCCAATAACCCCTTCAAAGACCCACATATGACGCATTACATTGCATTACACAGAATCTTCGATACCAGTCATTTTAACGTGTCAAAAGAAAATCCCCTGTTGTGTGTTCTTCAAAGACCAGCAGGGTCTGATTCATGCTCCACAGAGGCTAGGTCGGGAAAAGCGTCCTGAGACGAGATGACTCGCATATGAGTCTTCCGCCAGATTACAGGAAGAAAATACATGCATGACCTGATGATTGTCACTGGGAAGAGTTAATGAGACCTTGTGAACACACAGTCCAGGTGTTTGACTAGAAAATGCATTGACTGTGGTAAATGAGCTGTGGAGAAATATTCAACTGAAGTGAAATTATAAGATCAGCTACACCTTTTGTGAAAGTACGGTGAAAGAACAATCTGTCACTTGCACAGCATCCTGACACGGCCTTGTACGTGTGCACACATGAACAGATAAATACCATGAGTAAATCACACACACACACATGCACATAGAGGATCTGGAGTGAGACTTTGTGCCGCTCTGTAACTTTAAATAAATCTCCTTGGGTAAACAGTGTTTTTAAGAGTCCGCTCCACTGAGATCTCCTGGCAGACTCAGTGGAGCGCAGCTGAGCCAAGGCTGCAACCTCCAGGGCAGACAAATGCACACACGAACACACACGGAGACATATAATAACAGATCAGGAAAACTGAGGATCAGTAAAAAGTCAGAATCTACACTGATTTGACCACTGAAAAAGATGTAATTGCACGTTCATGAAAGCAGAACTCTGCAAAACTTCTCTGGTACTTTCATTTAGTTTTATGAGAAATTTGTAGCACTGCACTACCGAAGCACTGCAGGAAAATTTTGGGGATACATAAAAGAGAGTAAGGGTGAAATAGATACAGAGGGATATTCTAGCTTGTCAGGAGCTACAGTGAATACAGTAAATAAGGTAAATCTCGAAGTGAAGGTGCCTGTGCAGATCCACACTGTCATCACAAGTATTCTTCACTGCCTCATAAGAGCAGTGGGGGGGGTCAGCAGTTTCACAGCAATCTCATTCTTCATGCTACAGGAAGCTGTGCCATCTTTTTTGGGGTGGGAAGCAAGTTTAAGTGTTTGATTTCCTCTGCTTTCTCCTGTTGTGTCCCTCAGCTCCCATATGGGTCTGGTTTCCTCATTTTTCAAACTCTCTTGGCCAACCATGTCCAGTGCCTGTTCAGATCTGTTCACGTGTACGCGTGCATGTGAAGGTGGCATCCACAGACACTAGGGTGGGACATTAACACTGAACTGTAAAAATGTTTATCATAGAGAGAAAATTTTTCCCCCAGTTATTTAAACTGGTTGAACATGGTTTAAATGAGGTACAAGAAACTAAAGTAAATAAGTAAATAGTAACAATGTATTTATGGTGCGTAATGTCCTTTGACTCATGTCATTTTCTTAAAGATGCTATAATATATGTTTGTATCTTAACAATAGATTAAAGCTGTAATAATTAGTCTATTAATTGATAAGTCAATTGAAAAAATTAATCAGAAACTATTTCGATAATCGAATAATTTTTGTTATCTTCTTTAATCAAAAATATAAAATATTTGCTGTTTCTAGTTTCTCAACTATGAACATTTGACACTTTTCTTTGTAACACAGGAAAGTAAAACATCTTATGTGTCAAAAACATTTTCTCAGCTCGTTCCATTAAAACCATTACATCTCGTCTTGAAACTGACATTTTTTCACACCATTTGCATGGTTCATAATGCATTCAAACTAAAGCTGAGGTTTCTGACAACTTCTTTATTTACAAGAAAAAAAAGATTTTAATGGCCATGAAAATGGATGATTGTCAGTTTTCCACATGCTGCAATGTTCTGTACTGTATGATTGTTTTCATCCATGTGCCACTGTGGCACAGTGTAAACAAAGCTGACAACAAATAGTCCGGTAAAGGCTTGTCAGTTTCAGCTTGCGGCTTATGAAAGTAGCGTACTGTATGCTGACTGACACTAAAATTAATAAATGTTAAAAAGGCCATGAACTCGATCTGAACTGACAACTTAGTGAATGCTGCTTAGCTAACACTCAGCAGGATGGATGTCTTAAAAAGTCACTTCAGATGTTGTGATGCAACAAAGCAACATAGACGTTGGCTCTGTTCTCTTATCAGCCTGCTGCACATGTCTTTACACGCAGCGTTTCACCACAGGAATTTATACAAACTATACACAGCTGAACTCAGACAGTGCCGAACGATATAGACCAGCTTGCATGTAGTTGCACAGGTGGATCTCCTCACAACATTTCTTGGATTATGTAACAGTTGCCTGTGGGTAGCTCTTCAGTGATACATGCTTAAATCCTGTAGGTTAATACTTGAGGTCTCATTGTTGGTAAGAGACAGAGGTCAGACAACAGGTTGTACTCACACTGGGAGGATTACATTAAAGATTGTTTTATGTTAACATTTAACATTTTATGATACATGTACTTTTATTTTTAATGACCACTTAGGCACATCCATTAACTAAATAGTAATAAAGTTTAAAGCCTTGTTATTTCAACAACCACTATGTTGATACAAATAAAGATGGTGATACTGATGTCTCTGTAAACACTTCTTGCTCATCTTACACCTACAAATCTATTCAAAATTGAGAAACTTTTAATTAGCTATGAAACCAGAGAAACAGCTGTTAGTCAGAGCCCAATAACACACAAGGTTATGTTTCAGTTCTCTGCAAACGAGAGATAATCCATCGCTACTAAAACGATCAGCCACTAAGTCAATTAGTGGATCCGACAGAAAATGAATCATTAACAATTCTCATTATCAACCCTTTAAAGTTTCTTAAATGACTGCGTGTAATGTGAAAGGTGCTTCTCATAGTGACAGACCTACAGAGAATTAGCACCAAAAATGTTAGCATGCTAACTGGCTAAACTAAGATGTGAGCAGTACCTACTAAACATTAGCATGTTAGCACTGTCATTATGAGCATGTTAGCATGTAAAAGCTCAGAGCTGCTAGCGTGGATTTAGACTCTTAGCTTTGCGGTTCAGTCCCACTGTTCTCGTCACTGTCGTTCACGGCCACAGCAGGCAGTTGCTTTCAGCTAACATGCTACCCAACCTAAAAGTTTACACAGGTTTAGGCAAAAATGCCTTTCACATTCACTTATACCAGCTTCTCAAAGAATGGGGACTTATTTATTTTTTCTTCCGTTTTATGTCATTTTAAACAGATTATCTCTGGATTTTGGACGAACAAGCAGTCTGAAGATGTTAAAGTGATGTCACCTGGCACACACACACCCACATTTCCTGTCACTCTCTGTCCAAATACAGGCAAAAAAAAGATTTTCAACATAAAAAGAAGACAAAAATTGATAAATTAGTTTCAGCTCCAAACCCCAAAAGAGAAGAACACAACATCCAATGAAGAACAGGGCTTAGGCTATGGTTTGGCATCCTTTTGGCTAAATTTGGCATTTGGCAAATGCTGCTCAAATGGATCAGCCCAGAAAAATGATTAAGAGCCTTGCTGCTTGTTTTGAATTCCACTTCCAGTGAAAAACATCTTTCACATTAAGTGTGAAAAGTATTTCCATGTACAGTATCAGGGCAGCAGAAAACAAATGCCATTTCACGGGAACATTGTATTTGAAATTCTCCCAGTTTACACAAACTAAAAGCACAATTAAAGTTTTGTTTTAACCATCATTAGTTTTTTTTGGTGGTGTAAATCCTATGAGTTCAAATATCTCTATCTGAGGATGCCTGGAAGAGCTGTAGATGTAATGCACATCTAAGGTGGAAATTAAATGTCTTAAATACGTAAT